GAAGCTTGAAAACTATTCGTTAAAACTACTTGAAGATGTCATAAGAAAGCTTGCATAAGAGGAGAGACTGTGATGAAGAAGGTGGTCATCTCAAATACTGACCTTCCATACTGTACTTCCATGTATATTTGAACCTTTCAATAAATCACTGCAGATGAAGAAATGAGGAGTGGCTCAAGACTTTTGCATACTACTGCACATTAATTGTAGACCTAATATAGATAAACTGTTACTTTTTTGCACAATGTCTTTATTCATGTACCTCATGTTGCAGATTTATTTAATTCATTTTGATCTTAGACACAGTAATCAGACTGTAGTGTGCAGGAATATTCATTCAAATTATCCACAACAAAACAGGACCAAGTGTTAAACCCAGAATTTTCTAGCTGAAGGCGAGAATGCCAACTACTGAGCCACCATGTCGCATTACGAGGAGCGAGTGCCAGCCGCCCTGGCATTGTTGAATGCAGCACATATCCTAAGAGACCCCTATTATCTCAATTTGGATTCTAGACGTGCAAATCACAGACTTTAATATTATGGCAATAATGAATATGACAAAATAGCCAACTTGGTAAGGGATTTATTAAAATCAATTAAATGTGCTACATTATTAAGTGAAGATCTGTGAAATGCATTAATTAATTAGTAAACTTTGAATAAACCTGCTGTCCTCCAAACCAGATATACCTTGGAGGTCGCAAAATAGTCACAATTTGTGTGAATATGCAAGAAAATATGTTGTTTTATGATGAGTTACCCTGTTCTAATTCAGCTGCTGCTGAAGTTAGGCACATTGAAAGCATCTGATTTGAAGAACCGTGAGGAGTGACTCATGCTGTAACCCGTGGCAGAAAGAGAAGCGAGATGGGTGGAAGTCAAATTACTTGCAGGGAGATTGCGAATTAGTAATACAAGATTTGCTACACACACATATTTTGGGAATACGGGGGTGAGGCAAGCTTTAAAGAAATGCAGGATGAAAGATTAAAAGATATATTAACGTAAGCAAGTATGCTCCTGAGCCCCATTTTGTCCTTGTAAGTCTGCAAGGAGCTAGAAAATCTAATGATTTGAGGGCGGAAAATATCAACCAAGTGAGAGACACAAAAAGATTTAACACAATGCACAGACTGAAAATTTCCTGAAAGAGAAACACTCAACTCCAAATTTTATTAGGTTGTTCTGGCTATTATGTGGGTGTTTCCAGCCACATAATATGTTGCAGGGAGATGTATTTTCAAAAATGCATTTGAATAAATGCAGAACAAGAAGCAGATTTGGTGTAAAAACCTCTCTAAGAACTGCAGGTTGCTCAAGTGAGTCACTCCCTCAGCAACAGTGGAGAATATAGGCCAGCTTTCTATTGTTTTACAAGCAAATTACTTAAATCCTACTTTAACAATATTTATTCATTCATTTGCCAAACTAGGGCACACTATAGTACAACTCCATAAAATTAACTCATAACAATTCAGCTAAATCAACCGAATTCCAACTAAAAATGTAAATCACCCGGTTCTGCATAAATGTCCTTTTCGTTTGTACAATGTTGGTTCTGGTTGCATCGAGGTCAGCGGTTTTCCCAAAGCTGACAGTACACCAGGGATGGCATAAATGTAACAAATAGATTTATCAGTTTAACATTAGGTTAAGTAAGAATTCTTCAGCTTTAAGTTTTTATGTTGTAATTTGAAGTCACTGGAACATCTGTTGATCAGAGCGGGTAACTGTAAACAGGTAAATTACTGTATTATCCATTAATGTCATATTTTTAACTGTATTCATCTCTGTAGTTTTAATATTTGATTATTATTTGATTGTAAAGCTGCTTTACCTTTTACATTTGTACCATCTTAATTTAGGCTTTTTCATTAAGTCCATTAAAAAGGAAGTTGACCTTTTTCATAGGAGAATTTCTGGGCTTGTCACAGCAGCAGCACATGTGTTACATTAACACTGATGACGGCACTATTAGCTCCAAGTGGCACAGTCGTGCTAAAATGAGCCAGGACACAGAGCCGAGTTGGTGCGGCCTGTAATGGTATCTAGTAACACCATTTTGGATGGAAATGGGCATTAGCTTTTTTAACAATGACTCGTTAAAACTATTTATCATCATCTACTACTCTACCCAGTACTGTAACTAAAAGTCCCTTCAGAAAGTGAGACAAAAATCCAAGGCTTGCTGTTCAATAATTGCTTATTTAAAAGACTGACGCAAAAATGTGGCTTTGCTAATGACTTAGAAACAATAACTATTGTAAATGTACCTGGACAAAGTATTTCAAGACCTCAAGTTAACTAAATCTGGCAACACACTCACAGATTAATTTTTTTTTTAAACAATTTTTAAATTAATTCAGTTAAAGTCTATTACTGTAAGCTGCTGTAACAAAAATGTTATGTCATGTTGCCTACACTTCATACACTGACACCACATGAACTGTGCTGAGTCACACACTATCCAACCTCTGGGTAAATGGCATTGTCCAAAAGTAATCGCATCAATAATCCACGGACCACAGCACTCCAAGTAAAATTTAGTTTACAGAACTACTGACAAGAGTGACTCAACTTTGGTAAGAGCAGAAAACTTACCAAACTTACAACAACAACAGAAATGAACTGCAACAATGCGAAGCAGTCAAAGAGTGGCCACAAGTGCTTAGGCAGAACCGATTACCTCCAACCAGCTCCTCTCCTGTGAGTTTAACAGCAAACGTCCATTCAAACCTTACAAAAGCCAGCTAGTCAGGTACCCGAAGAAAATTTGTAGGTTTTGACTACTAAAATCCGATCTTACACCAGACAAAATAGACACAAAAGAATAAACCGAGTATAAAATCAAATCACAATGATATGAATAATCAGGACAGAAGGTAAAAAAGGGGGAAAATGGCAGCTGTGAGAAGTGATGGAGAGAGAAATGTAGATGTAAGCTAAAACTAGTGAAGGAAAGACAATGGGAAAATGGAGGACATGGAGGCTGTGACAAAACAGAAAATTGCAACTGCAAATATGAAACAAAAAGATTTGAAAATAAAGCCTCAAAATCAGGCAAAGAGATTAAGACCGATGAATAGACATGCTTCAGGAGTGGAAGAGACAAGAAAGGAAACGATGAGCTGCAGGAGAGAAAAGAAAAGGTCTAAAATGGAAAGGCAGAATAGAGAGGCTGATTAGCAGCAGAGAACGTGACACAAGCAAGCACTTACTGAGGTGCAACTCTCCTCCAGTATCTGTCGATGCCATTTTTGAAGTACAGAACCGCAAGCCACCTGACATTCACATCCAGCATGTGGTTATTGAAGATATTCTGTGGGAAAGAAACATAATCAGCTCAGCTCACAGTGCCTTGTTAGCTCAAATGAGTAGGACTACACAGTACTCTGATGGCTACAAGCCCTTTAAGATACAGCACCGTTAAAATCCAGGTCACACTGACTTTATGTTACAATATGTCTCAAGTGACCAAACTAATGCAGCTTTACTTATCATAAATGCCAAAATCACTGAGATTTAAAACGTAACCACAGAAAATACTGCTGTGTAAAGTCATTCTTCCTTACACGGCAAAGGCAGAGGCTCCATAAAGAGAGAACGGTAACATCAAAGATTGGAAACTTAGTCCTTTCAAGTTTGGGAGATAAAATGACAACGTGATTTTTCAAAAAGCATAACTTTTACTTTTGCTTTAATGCAAACCTAAAATATCCATCTGTTTTTTTTTTTTATTTAACTATGCAAGTTAAGAAAGAAACAAAATCCTCATCAGATTCCTCTCTGAAACAGTAATTCAGCTGCTTTGGTTCCCTTGCTCTTTATTTACTGACACCTTCTGTACCATCTCTGAGGTGAGAGATTAAGAGAGACCGCTATCATACTAAATGAGATGAGACAGCGTGCACACAGCACACCATGGCGTAATTGCCAGGGACCGTGGTATCAGGAACATCTCGTGAAAATTTAAATCATCTGTGACTCCAGAGATAACACTGAACTCAAAGCTAAGGATGACCCAAGATGGGAGTTTTGAGATGGGGTCTAGCAATATGACCCCACCCCCCAATTCCACAAAACATCAAAGCACACACGCTTTTAAAGTGAGTTAAAGAAAAAGTTTGTGGTGATTTTCAGTATTACAAATGTAATAATAAATCACCTTGTGATTGTATGTCCCCACCAATTATGCTACAGTTTGTACCTGTCTAAAAGTTCACACGGGGTGGAAAAAAATGTGTTTTACATTTTTGCAATGTACGGTCAAAGTTAACATCTTGGCCATCCTACACTTGCAAATATGATGGGCCATTAAAGGAGAGAAACAAATGTCACATTCTGATGTGCATTCTCCTCCATTAATCTGAGGCCATCTGAATGCATCAGTTTCATGAGCAACATTTATTTCCTTTCCATAAAAGTTACAATCTTATTTGGCTGGCTCTGCTAGCATTCACTTATCACTTTTAAAATGGCACAAGTCTGAACTGCATCCAGGAAGAGACAGGCTCACAGAACTGTCTCACACATCGTTAGTTGCTCAGCTCACTCAGTCAGGCTTGTTGGAGAATGCCCTGAACAGCAATAATGTTAGGTGGGAATTTAAAACAAACAAACTAAAATAAAAAATAAAAAAAAAAACCTCCATGTAGGAGGAACTTTCACTTTGTGCCTCGCCATCTCTCTATGTCCTAACTAACCTCAGGGAAATCTCGTAGTTGGTCCTATACATATGAGATATGCAAAAAACCAGCTTGTTATTATTTTACAAAAGCTACCAGGGTCAACTATTACTATTAGCCTCCCTGTTACTAATAGACAATTGTGTATTGTGTATCCTTTTTTTCTGGGTAACAGCCCGCTGTGACTTGTTGTAGCTTTAAACAAGTCTCACACGTTTCCTGCAAGGTTGCAAACCTTTCTTTGTCCATTTCTGTGCAGGATCGTCTTCTTTGACACTTTGCTAGTCATCCACTAATGTCTTGGCACTTGTTCTGGGGTCTTTAGACACAGCTTTCACTGGTTTTCTTTCTAGAGTCCTTCAAATCTTTTGCTTCCTTCCTCTTCCAGGTTTGTTCTATACTGTGTGGCTCTCTCTTCAATTTTTCAATAGTTATACATTATACGCTCTGATAACTTTGTATATCCATCTTCTTATATGTAAGCACCAACAACTCTATTTCTCAAGTCTGATTTAATCTGATTTCTTTTGTTTTTAGTATCATATTTTTTCCTCAAGTTTTTATACTGTTTTTTAAGATAACCTTCAGTTTTAACTTGATTTTACAAGCTTCAAGCATTAAAACACATCAGTTCACAGCAGTGCTTTGTGCTCAATAAAAAGTTTAGTTTTCCAGAGAGCTGATAATATTGCCACTGGTAATATTTAGTTTTTCTTAAATAATTCTGTTAATGTGTGTAAATACAAATATTCTATGCTTTCTAAAGAAAACTAGTATTTCTAGAAATGCTTCCCTTTTTTTGTTGAAAAAGCATTTGGGAAAAACCAAAAAACTTCAGAACTGCCTAAATTCTTTGTGGCACAGCTTCAACAACATGACCCCATTCCTCAGACACAATAGTATCACACAGTTGCACCAGATTTGTTGGCTGTACATCAATGTGACTCTCCCATTTCACCACACCCAACAGGTGCTATGTTGGATTACGATCTCATGACTTTGAAGGCCTCTGAAGTACAGTACTATATCAAAAGAAATCTTTGGATCTTTGTGACTTTGAGTGCATTACTCCTACTGGAAGCAGCCATCAGAAAATGAGAACGAAAACAGCCTTTACACAAAAAAGTGTGGTCAAAAAGAGATGGAGATGGCCAGCCACATTACTCAGGTAGGCTCGGGTGTTTAAACAATGCTCAATTGGTACTAAGGGGCCCAAAGTATGGGGCAACCTTTTATTGTCAATTTTGGTGATGTCGTGTGAACTGTAGGTTCCTATTCTTAACTGGCAAGTGTGTCACCTTCATATTGGGTGTTCAGATACTCTTCTGCATACCTTGATTGTAACAAGTGGAGCTATTGTGGTCTTCCTATTAGCTTGAAGCAGTGAAGCCATCTCCCCTGACCTCTGGCAGCTACAACGCATTTTTGTCCAGAGAGCGGCTGTTCAGTGGATATTACCAAGTTTCTGAAATATTAGGCTGTCTAGCACCAACAACCATGCCAAGCTAAGTCACTTGAAATCACATTTTTTCCCGTTTTGACATTGAGTTTGAACTTCAGCAGGTCATCTTGGTCATGTCTACATGCCTAATTGCGCTGACTTGCTGTAATATAATTTGCTGATTAGGTATCTACATTAGTTGCATCAGTTTAAGTGCTGTACCGGTAAATCTAAAAGTTATTTTCCTGAGTTAACTGGTTACTAACGAGATGGAAGATCCAGCAACACCTGTAGTATACACAGTGTTGGGGAGTAACGGAATACATGTACCGCCATTACGTATTTAAAATACAAAATATGAGTAACAGTATTCCATTACAGTTACCGTTTAAAAAGGTGGTATTCAGAATACAGTTACTTTGTTGAATTAAAAGGATTACATGGCGGTCTTTTCCTGTTTCCTATGTTAGGCTGTCCCCTCTCTATTTTTGGTAATTCTACGCCGGCGGAAACCCAAACAAAACACATATTAAGAGGCTCTAATGCCTGTGTCTCAATCTCGCGGCCCATGTTACCCCCACTTGCGGCCCGCATAATTAAAAATTATTGTACAAAAAGTGATTTAATATGAAAGCAATAGGCAGAGTGTTACAGGCATAGCCCTAAAGAATGTAGCCTCATGGGCAGTATAGCCCAGTTCTAAGTAAGTTCTTAAGACTCGACTGTACTCTGTGTTCGTGTTTTCCTCCAAAACAATAAGTTCTGGTGGAGCAGCCTTTCAACGCCTCTCTCTGTCTCTC